TCCTGGTGCACGGACACAGCTTCTGGAGTGCTTCTGATCGGCCTCATGTTCTTGATGGCGCCGCCCACTGCCTCTTCTGCGGTAACCTCTCTCAAGGCATCTTGGAATGATAAGTCTTCTTTAGCGAAAAGTCTCTGCTGCAATTCTCTATGCCTCAGTCCGCATACAAATCTGTCTCTCAGCCGTTCTTCTAGATCCTTGAACTCGCAGTGTTTAGCGGCTTTTCTTAGCACAGCAATGTATTCTTTGGCTGATTCTCCGGGTCGCTGATCCCTCTGTTCGAAGGTGTGGCGCCACGCGATGACGGACAACTTTGGCTGGAAGTGTTCCTTTAGTAGTTTTTTGAGATCTGTGTAGTTAACAGATTCTAGAGGTGCAGGTGCTGCTATGTTTTCAGCGATTTCGAATGCATCTTGACTGCAAACGCACAGCAGGGTGGCAGCTTTTAAACTATCTTCTCTTACTTGGTTGACTTTAAGATAGTTTTCCACCCTGGCTACGTAGGACTCCCATCTTTCCGGATGCGAGACGTTGAATTCTGAAAGTCTTCCAACTTTTGCCATTTTTGTAGAAAAGGAAAGGTCTATCAGCCAGCCTACCCCCGATGCTCGCTGGATTGGCGGGCAGCTGCCGAGTCAACGCCGTTCCTACTGCTCAGGACTCTAGGGTAAGCTTACACCTGTCTTCAGTCGATGTAAGGCAATCCCATCCTCGTCGCCAGTGTTAAGTCCTTCGCGAAATGGCAATGACACGAGAAGCAGTTGTAGTTCTCAGGAACTCTTTATTGCTGTTCAGCATACTGGTTACAAGACGCCGACAACGCCCAAATCTCCTTGCTCCTTTTATAGGCGATTCCCGGGCCAAACTGCAACATTTGGCATGCTCGCACCCGCGCATGCGCGCGAGTGCTGGCGACAGCCAGTCTGGTCCCGGGCAGCTTGCACCTGCCCAGGACCGTTGCAATGCCCCGAGCCTGCTCTCACAGGCTCAGGACATAACAGGCAGGAAACCCTATACCATTTCAGACAAACGGTTGTCCAATCTATTCTTAAAAACTTCCAGTGTTGGAGCATTCACAACTTCTGGAGGCAAGTTGTTCCATCAATTAATTGTTCTCACTGTCAGGAGGTTTCTCCTTAGTTCTAGGTTGCTTCTCTCCTTGGTTAGTTTCCATCTGTTGCTTCTTGTCCTGCCCTCAGGAGCTTGACTCCCTCTTCTTTGTGGCAACCCCTGAGATATTGGAACACTGCTATCATGTTACCCCTAGTTAGTGCTTTTTTTGAAAAAAAAAAAAAAGTGCCAGAACTCACATATGTCATACAACCCACTTTGCCTACCCTACAAGGTTTACCTTTGTGGTTGAAAAAAAAATCCCTTCACTTTTTAATGTATCAAAAAGACTAGGATTTTGTTCAAGGCAACTCTGGAAAATCCATCAAAGAAAGTGCCGGAACTCTGTTCCGGTGTGTTCTATGACAAAAAAAAAAAAAAAAGCCCTGTCCCTAGTCCTTCTTTTGATTAAACTAGACATACCCAATTTCAGCAACCATTCTTTGTATGTTTTAGTCTCCAGTCCCGATCATTTTTGTTGCTTTTCTCTGCACCCTTTCTAGAGTCTCAACTTCTTTTTTAACATTGTGGTGACCAAAACTGGATGCAGTATTCCAAGTGTGGCCTTACCAAGGCATTATAAAGTGGGATTAACGCTTCACATGATCTTGATTCTATCCCTGTTAATGCAGCCTAGCACTGTTGGCTTTTTTGGCAGCTGCAGCACACTGCTGGCTCATATTTAAGTGATTGTCCACTAAGACTCCGAGATCCCTCTCAGTTACTATCGAGGTACCACCTATACTGTACCTATGTATTTAGTTTTTCTTGCCTAAATGTAGAACCTTACTTTTTTCACCATTGAATTTCATTTTGTTAGATAGCGCCCAGTGTTCAAGTCTGTCAAGATCCTTCTGTATCTTAAGCCTGTCTTCTGGAGTGTTGGCTATTCCTGCCAGCTTGGTGTCATCTGCAAATTTGATGAGTTCCCCATCCTCCAAATCACTGAAGATGTTGAAGAGCACTGGGCCTAGAACAGAGTCTTGGAGAACTCCACTGCATACTTCCCTCCATGTAGATTCAGTTCCATTGAGGAACTGCAGTTGGTCAGCCAGTTATGAATCCATCCGGTGGTGATGCTGTCTAACCCACATTTTTTATCTTATCTAGTAGTAGGTTGTTTATTTCAAAAGGAAAAAAAACGTTAAAGTCCTTAAACATATATTTAAATTTTCTTTGACTAAGTATTGCTGAAAACAAACCTAGTGCTGTAAAACCTGTCAATTCAAAGGTTCCCAATAACAGAAAATTAATAAACAATGTCCAAAAGTGATTAGAAAAGGAAGTATATAAATCCAGTCTCCTTTTACAAAGGAGGAAATCATAGTTTCGGATATATGGTTATTCCCTCATCTCGCATAACTGCAGTATTTTTAAAGAGATGAGACAAAAGATGGGAGACAAAAGAAATCTCACCAGACAGAACTTTTAGTAGGACTGGGAAAAAAAATCTTTATAATCCAAAATGCTGCTGAATTTATTCTGGAGTTCAAACGTCTACATGTTTCTGTAGCCAGATTCTTAGCATAGGAGACATCTATATTAAATATGTAGTAAATCATCTTCAATTTTAATTAGCCTATTATTTTAAAAATATGCAGCTTCTATTAAGTTGTTCCATGTAACATTAACTAAGAACACACTTCCTTCCTCATGTAGCAGAGTATTGACGAGGATTTTGAAAAAAATAACCCAAACAAAAACAAATTCAGGGAGCAAAATTTGCTGCCACTTTTTATTTTAAAATGAGCGTACAATCTGTGTCCCTCCGGACCACTTAAATTACGATTCAACAGTAGTATTTGGAGAAATTAAAAATATTATATGAATCAAGGCCTTCCAACCTTAGCAATTCTAAGAGTTGTGGACTTCAACTCCAAGAATTCTACAGTCAATCATGCCAGCAGTGGAATTCTGGGAGTTGAAGTCTACAGGCCTTAAGTTGCCAAGGTTGGACACCTCTGATACAAATGGACTCATGTTCATGAAAATACTGAATCTTTAATTACCCCCACCTTTTAGGGCAGGGGTCCTCAACCTTGGCAACTTTAAGACTTGTGGACTTCAACTCCCAGAATTCCTCAGCCAGCAAAGCTGAGTCTTAAAGTTGCCAAGGTTGAGGACCCCTGTTTTAGGGTCTATCTATGGCCCAGGGCCCATAGCATAATATTGTGAGCCCCACCCCAAGGAAGCTTTGGCTACTCTGCAGTTTTAATAAACACACTTAAAGATCTGGTCTGAAACCAAATTTGCCTTTTAAGTGATAGTTACCACCTTAAAGATGATCCCTTGCCCCTAAACCAGGTGTGTCCAACTGGCAGCCTGTGAGCGGCATGCAGCCCTGGATAGCTAGTAATGCAGCCCCACAAGATCATAAAAAATAAAGTTTGTTATTTATATATATTAACTATATGTGCAGGGGTAGGCAATCTTGGCTCTTTTATGACTCGTGGACTTCAACTCCCAGAATTCCTGAGCCAGCATGTCCACGAGTCATAAAAGAGCCAAGGTTGCCTACCTTGGACATATAACAATTTGTTTAGTGATTGTTCAAAGGTACAATGGCACCCAAAAAAGTGACTTATGACTGTTTATCACACAACCGTTGCAGCATCCCCGTGGCACGTAATCGAAATTCGGATGCTTGGCAACTGGTTCATGAGTCACCTGGATCACGTGATCACCTGCAACTTTCTGACCAGCAAAATCAATGGGGAAGCCGGATTCACTTAATAACTTTGTTACTAACTTAAAAACTGTGGCAAGAAAGTTCATAAAATGGGGCATTAACAACTGTCTTGCTTAGCAACAAAATTTTGGGCTCAATTGTGGTCGTTAAGTCAAGGACTGCTTGTATGCAGCCCAAGACAATTCAGACAAGCCAAAAGGTAGACACGCCTGCTCTAAACCTTGCAATAAGGCACATACATGCCAATAAAAAAATCAAAAGCCAAGCCTCTTGGCTTCTGGGAACTGGAAATGGGAGGAGGCCATTTCTGTCATGCCCAGAGAGATAGTAACAGTCATGAGTCATTCCTGCCCAGGGGCAACACCTAGCTGTGACATCTTGGCTGTTCTTGAAATGTGTCCAGAGAAGGAAGTGAATAAGGAAGGATGGGCCCAACCCTAACCTCTAATTTTAGACCTAGAACGAGCTTAAGAGGTCACCGAGTCATCTCTAAATCAGCTTCCAGTCTAACAAATTGTCTTGTATTTGTCCTGAGGGTGAAGGGACAAAGGGTGTGCTATATTAAGCCAGAAGGCTTAACACACAACAAACAAATTAAGGTAGCCTCTTTTGAGTTGGATTCCGGAGATCAAGGCCATGGAGAGAAGATGGGGAGATGGATTTATAGTACTGTATACCAGGAACAATCTGGGTGAAACAGCTGTACAAATTCAAAGAAACTATGCTGGGAAGACCTCCTGAGGCCTTGAAAGGAAGAATCTCAGTATTAGGAGTAACTATGGCCACACCTAAGTAGCACATCCACACAACGATCTTCTTCAACGCAACTCCACAATTACCGCATGCTGAAAATACCTCTGACTATGGAGAGTCTGTAGAACCACTAATAGATGTGTCCTCCAGGGTTTTATCTAACTCGGGTGGGCAATTATGGCAACTCTGACCTGTGGACTTCAATTCCCAGAATTCCTGAGCCAGCATGGCTGGCTCAGGAATTCTGGGAGTTGAAGTCCATAGGTTGTAAAATCGCCATAACTGCCCACCCTGATCTAACTCAATTTTAACCCTCTACTTTTTCAGAAATGGAAGTCCAACACAACTGGAGAGCACATGGTTGAGGAAGAGTCACTTACAGCTCTCTTGTATCCCTACCTTCAGTCAGGCATTAGGTAACTGATGGAGAAATGATAGTATTCAAATACCAATTTTAAAATTTTGTTTATTATATTCAAACACGGTAATTTCAATTCCCTGTTCTTTAAAACAATGGCAGCTGTGCTGCTAAATAAACAAGTACAATATAGAGACTTCTTTGGAAAAAAAATACTCATGCGATATTGCACATTTAAGTTTCTCTGCATTTTTCTTCTGGTTTTTGTTGGCAATGCAGCCATATAGAAAATACTTCTGTTATGTACAGATATTTATGGAAGGAGGTGGGGGACGTCCCTGGACTAGGACAGTGGAGGGAAGAAAAGTGGGGGGTAAGAAGAAGGGGCCATGGCAGAAAAGGGAGGATTTATTTATTTTGGCAAAGGAATCTTGGCTCATGATAGCGCAGGAAAAACACACACACACACACAAACAGGATTTTCAGGGTAGTACTTTGGACCCGTTTTTCTCTTGGAATTACTTCTAGCCCTCAGTTTCACTTTGAAGTACTTCTAGCCCTCAGTTTTAACATTGAAAGTATTGGATTGCATGCGTGCAGGAAGCAAAATATGGGACAGCCACTAAGCTGGAACTCCAGATTACTTCTGGGAGACAAATGGTGCCCAGGGAGCTAGAAAATGAAAGGTCAAGGAGGCACAGCTCCTGGAGAAGCAGGAGTGAAGGCTGGCAATTTATGTAACCGTGTCAAGTGTGGGTTTTGGCTATGGCCTCTCTTATTGGCTTCAAACCTCAGGTGACAGTGCCAGCAGCAGCATCAACAGGCTGGGTGTTGGCAGAAGGCTACGGTTCACATGGCAGGAGGAAGGAAGGAAGGGGGAGGTTTCCTTTGGCCTAAGTTAGGTGCAATTCTGAAAAACCCACCTAACTTTATGGACATTCAAAGACCAGAAAGGGGACAACTCAATATTTGCACCCGAGTGTTAAGATGCAAAGAGAAAGGAGCAGAAACTCCACAGCACTGCTGCCTCTCTTGCCCCACCATTGACATTCATCCTCATCCTCACAGCTAATCAGGCATGACTCCCAAGCCTCTCCTGACGAATGACCAAGAATGACTGGGCCAGCTTTGGCTTGGCCAAGACTGCCATGGATCGCTGCTGCAATCCGGCTGCTCACTTCTTTTAGCTTTGCAAAGACCAGATGCCACCCTCCGTCCGATCCATTAATGCTGGCCAGCCTCTTGCAGCATTTGCTGGTTACGGCATGGCCACTACTGGGTAACTTGTCTCTCGGGCTGCCAAGCTTAACCGTAAGGGACACCCTAAGGACCTGGTTGTCAAGAAGGCCTGTTAATCCCATTTCCCCACAGCAACAATGCTGGCCACCCCGCTCCTATGGGTTCCCAGAAAGACTGGTTCCTATCATCCCTATGCTCCTTGTTCCCTGGAGGAAAAGCAATAAAGCAAAGAGCATCACTGAAGGAAGCCACAAAATAAATACTGTCTCTGGGAAGGGGAAGGGCTGGGGGAGGAGAAGCAGGCGTCGAGACAAGCTTCTGGGGAAAACAATAGTTGGTGGGGCCTATTTGGCCGAGCCTCAGAACAGCCCGCGTCTGGAGTGTCTGGGTGGTGAGAGGAAGGGGACCAACCCTATCCTCACGTATTTCTCCTGTCCCTGCTCAGGATCTTGGTACATGTGGGGGTGGGGGTGTGTGTGGAGGAAGGTCCCTGCTTCGCACAGAAACCGGGGGACAATGACAGCAGCTGGTGGTCACTTGGAGAGCTTGCTGATCACACGAATAAGAGCGGCGTTTTCGTCTTTAAGACGCTGGTTGTCGGCCTTCAAATCTGAAAGAGCCTGTGAGGGGAAAGGCAGATACGAAGTCAAACTCCCAAGGCACCTCCTTCTGGTTATAGGTAGTCCTCGTCTTACAACCATTCGTTTAATGACTGTTCAACGGCACTGAAATAAGTGACTTAGGACTGCTCTTCACACTTACAACCGTCGGTCACATGACCAAAATTTACATGGCAACTGGCATGTATTTATGAGGGTTACAGTAATGGTGGGATCATGTGATCCCCTTTTGCAACCTTCTGACAAGCAAAGTCAGTGGGGAAGCTAGAAGTTGTTCACTTAACAACCATGATATTAAATTAACAACTGAAGGGATTCACTTAACTATGGCAAGAAAGGTCTTAAAATGGGGCAAAGCTCACTTAACGATGGTCCTGTTTAGCAACAGAAATGTTGGGCCCAATTGTGGTCATAAGTCAAGGACTATCTGTATCCTCCTTCAGAGAATTTAAGGCTACGGTGTACATTTTGGTGTTACTCCCCAATCTTATTTCTTAGCCTCTTTGCTCATTTTTAAAACGGACATCCTGCCTTTTGGCCAACATGGATGCAAACAAAGCACAGTGGGAACTCTAAGAACGCCCATTTATCAGAAGCACTTTTTTCTGTTCCTTGTACAAACGCACAATGCCACACGCACACACTTTCTCTGTGTTTTAAGGATCTGTCATTTTTCTACATGCAAATTGTTGGTCTTGGTAGTGGATTCAGTTCCAGCTCCAGGGTTTTAGAAATAACCTGTTCAAAAGGGCAGGTAGGAGCAATACTACACCTTGTAGTGTGATTGTGACTGAATTATACCTGTATTGCAAACCTATTTCCTCCCTGCCACCTCCTCCTTCCTTGCTCCCAGCCAGACTACCATTCAACCACAGCAGGGACTCCTTCAACAAGAGAAGAATCACCTTCAATTCTTCCTCCAGCTCAGCAGCTTTCCTTTCCAAAGCTCGACGCTCCTGGTTTGGGACAGGTGGGACAAAGAGATGAAGTAAGAGTGGATGCAGGAAAGGAATCCTAAGCATGCATTTATGCTGAGTGGGGAGAAATCAATCTCTGTAAAATAAAACTGGGTACGTTTAATCTTGTGCCGTTTAGAATTCCTACAGGCCATATATATTGGTCAATTTTTTGTAACAGAAGAGGAGATAGCCAGGAGCTGCTTTCCTTCTAGGGGAGATGCAAATAATCTAGATTAAACGTGTACACTCTTTCCTTGAAATCCCAGCCTTTAGCACGTGTAAAAATGCCTAGTCAGTTACTGCCTTCTCCTCAACAGCATAGTTGCCTCACTGACAGGCTTCTCCCCAAAGGTGGCAGTTTGATAGGTCAGTTCTGGCAAGCAGGAGAGGGGAAGGAATAGGGAGGAAGGAACAAATACTTACAAATCTCTCTAGTTCTAGAAGAGCCGGTCGTTCAGCAAAGCGCTCCTGCCTCTGGCCAGAGCAGACAACAACAACAACAAAAAAGATTCAAAATCACTTCTGTGCTTACTTTTTAAACATTTATTATAGCCTTCTCCCTTGCAGATCTGAAGAAAGGGTATGACTGGTAAAATAATAATAAAGCATACAATACAGCAATACACAACCTAGAGAAGACAGGAACGTGAACCTCAGAGACAGAAGTGGTTTATCATTGGGGGGGGGGGCATCACTGAAAATCCAGACATGCACCTCATCTGAAGATCACACTCTACAAGCAAGTTCATAGATGGAAAGGCTGGATTAATGTCGCCTGGACTAGGAGGAGGGCTATGCATGCATTTCTAGCAAACCATTTTACATCTATCGGTCCTTAAGTTACTTTCTTAAGATTCCCACAGGTGAACCAGAATTGCAAATATTGGGAGAAACAGCAGTCAATCAAGACTACTCAGTACAGTTACTGAGACTTTTTTTTTTTTAATTCATTCCAGGTTAATTGCAAAGATGGAAATCTAAAGCAAATATGCACCAAAGCTATGTATTTTATTTATTTGTTAACTTTATAGCTGACCTTTCATTCTGGAGGTCAAATAATATAATGGCATGTAAGAATGATGGGGGGGGGGAGATGCTGCCTAAGGAATAATTAGATAAGAGGGAACATAGCCCACAACTGTATAGTGGGTAGAACAAGAAGCTCAAAAGGGACCCTCCTCATGTTACTAATGGTAACAGCGGGAGAATTGCACTTTCAGACTTGCACAAGATTTTGTTAACGGAGCTTTTCAATAAAGTGGTATTAGATTATCTGGCCTGTTTCCTTTTTGGCCTACCTGGTAGGCTGAAAAGGAGGCATATATGGTGCTTCCTCCTCCCATTTTCCCCCACAACAGCCCTAAGAGGTAGAAAGCAAGAGATCGTGAGTTCAAGCTTTGCCTTAGCCATGAAAGCCAGCTGGATAACCTTGGGCCAGTCGCTCTCTCTCAAGTCCAACTTACTTCGGAGGGTTATTGTGGTGGGGCAAATAGGAGAAAGGTGTGTTCGCAGCCTTGAGTTATTTGTAAACATAATAAAGGTGGTATATAAATAAAGTAAAATAACTGGCCTGGATACCTAGAAAACGTCTGTTGCATAGGGTGGGCCTGAGTATCCCCTGCTCCTGCTCCTAGATTTTAAGCACATCACCCCATATTCTGTATCCCAATAACTCTAAAATAGATTTTGGCTCTACGTTCTCTCCAATCTTCGCCAGAATTGCCTGCTAATGCTCTCGGTCCCAATATGCCTCTTCAGCCCTCCCCTTCCCCCCCCCCAGCTCTCCCATGAAGGGCCCACCTTGCCCTGCCCCGTACCTGGGTCACTCTTTCCAGCTCCAGCTTAATCTGTGTGAGTTGGAGCTGCGCCTCCTGCAACTGTTCCTTCAGCTTTTCATTCTCAATCAAGAGATCTTCATACAGCTTAGAGACCCACGTGAGAAGGGGGGGGGAAGGAAAAAAAAAGGAGGCAATGAGAAAGATAAGCAAGTGCGAGATACAGCAGCGTTCCTTTGCAGCTGCTTTTTTTGCCTGCCCCAGTGAGTGCGAAACCCTCCTTCTCCAAGCACTAACTTTCTTGTAATAATTGTCCGGTTCTTCTCTGCAGCCCGAAGGTGCGCTGCTCCCTCTTTGGCAGCCAGAAGGTGCAGTCCGGTTTGGCAGAAGGCTGTTTAAGTGATCGCTGAAAAGAAGCAGCAGAGGGAAGCGGTGAGCACTGCCCTCTGCTGGCTCCTTTGCACGATGCAAAAGTAATAATAATAATAATAATTTAGGTAGGCACAATATTAACTCGGAGAAAAAGATTGAAAAGGAAAACATAAAGGCCAGTGGTGCTTTAGCAAAACAACAGCAATATATGCTGGTTTCATGTGTTCCTGCAGAAATGGGCTTCTTCTAGCCTGGGGGGAGGCTGCTGAGATTGTAGCCAATGGCAAACCTAACATTGTTGGAATAAGACAAGCTTCAGGAGGGGACAAAACGGAAGAAGCATTGTGGAGGGGAAGGGGGGTTAGGTTAGGGTTAGACTGAAGAAACTACTTGGAGAAGCAGTGAAACATTTCAGACCAACAAGAAAAGAAGTCCTGGTGCCGTGACTCAATTTCCAGAAAGTGCAATCATGTGTAGGCAGCCCTGGACTGTGTAGCTGCCAAAGCCTCCCTCGGAGGCTAAAATACTTGATCCATGTTGTGTATCTGGGTGCGTTTAGAGAGAGCATTGTTAAAAGCACTCATTTCACTATGGAATCCCCCCCCCCAGTGCTTCTTCCACTTTGTCCCCTCCTGAAGCTTGTTTCATTCCATCAATGTTAGGTTTGTCACTGGCTACAATCTCAGCAGCCTCGTCCCAGGCTAAAAGAAATCCATTTCTTCTAGACTCAGATGGATGACTGAGAATCTTTATCCACATAGTGATCACAGTTCATTGCTCCACTACAACTCATCCACCTCAAAGGGGCAATGACGGTGAATCTTTGACACGTGGGTCATGGGTCCAGGCCATGTCAATTTTGGTGACATGCCAGGCCTCTAGACCAGGGGTCCTCAGTCCCCAGTCCATGGCATGCCAACAACTGGTCCGCACAAACAAGCAAAGCCCCATCCGCAGGATGCAGGCAGCACACAAAACCAAGCTCTCTCCGGTCCGCGGAAAAGCCTTTCCCCACGGAACTGGACCCTGGTGCCCAAAAAGTTGGGGGCCTCTGCTCTAGACCCTCTGGAAGTTGTGCAAGAGGGCCTCGCTCTCACAGGGCCTCTGAAAAGCATGCGAGAACGGGTGTGATTTCCCACGTTTTTTGGAAGATACAAGGCCACAAAAGAGCCTTTTCCAAAATGTTCAGGCCTCGTGCAATCCAGAGCTGCCTTGGATGGGCATTTCGAAAAATATTTATAATGACAGCAGGTATGTATGTATGTATTTATTTATTAAATAATAAATGTAAATGATTTATTACTTCGTTATGAATTCTCTTGTGTGTGTATGTATGAGAGAGATGATAGATAGATAGATAGATAGGAGAGAGAGAGAGAGAGAGAGAGAGAGAGAGAGAGAGAGAGAGAGAGAGAGAGAGACGCCAGCAGAGTCAACGTAGGTGTTTTCTGAATTTCTGACATGCTCAGCCCATAAGATTTGCCACCCCTGCTATAGAGGAATCTACCTGCTATGTACAGATGGATCTTCATTGTGGACTTGTTCAGTGTCTTCATCTTCCTCCCCCTAGAAGAAGAAAAAAAATGTGCTTCAGAGATGCTCACAGTCAAGGTGGGTGCAGGTAAAAGGCATCCACCACCTTCACTGTAACCTCCTATCTGTACCCCGAACGCCGCCCTTCCTCCAGTGCACCAGCCCGCTTCTTCTGGTGCCCTTCTCTCCTTCACCTCTGAGCTTCCTCCCAGACCAGTGATGCGCCTCTCTCGCCGGCCTTTCCTGCGGTCTCGGATAGCCAGTCTGTTCCGAAGGTCTGTATCCAGCTCAGAGCCAGCCTTATCGACTTCCGTTCCTGTAGTTTAAAAAAAAAACAGGACAGGCAGCTGAGTCTGGGCTGTCCACCTCCCAAGTCCTGAGTGCCAACAACGCGACACAGAGGAGACGAAAGCTATAAGACCTCCTCGAGATGACACTGCGCAAACACTGGGAGAGAATGAAATGAGTCAGGATCGAAGGAGACGAAGGAGCTAGTGCCAGTCCACAGTGAAACATGTCAAGCAGGCAAACTGAAAACGAAGGAGGAAAAAGAAAGAAGGAAATATTCACCTGAACACAAGGGTTACCTTTCTGGAGCTGCGAATTCACCACTAACGGATTCACAGTATAAACTGAAGAACTGTCTGAACTGAGGAGCCGGAACCGCCTAGCAGAGTCCTGAATGAGGTGTTGGGAGAATGAAGTTAGGGAGAATAAGAAGGAAGACCAATTACAAACCTGCTCAAGGCAACAGGGCTGCATTTTGCAGAGGGCCAAACTAAAGCTTGGGGTGACTGAAAAGGGTGGTGTGATGAGTGTCCCTACTTCACAGGATGTGCCAAAATACACCAGATCCTCAACTCAACCCAGTGCTGGCAGAGACGTACAAGGAAAGTCACACATTGTGAATGCCAGGAGCCACCTCCCTCTCCATCATGTCACAAAGGGTCACTATCCTGTTCAGCCTGGCAACGGCCAGTTGCGTCTTTCTTTTAGAGGCTCTTTGCAAGGATCTGCATCCTGAGCAGCAGGTACGTATACCTGTAAGCCCCCCCCCCGCCTTAGATCAGGCCTCATCTTTTCCCTGATCCATTTATCATTAGATCAGGTTCTCTCCTCCTGCCCAGGACTTTTGACAATGCTGGAGGGGCTGGAATACAACCCATCCACCTCAAAGGATCCCTACCGTGGTCTCCTGAGACTGCTGTTCCCCTTCTTTGTCCCGTTTTTCATCCTCCTTGTTCCTTTGTTCTGAAGGAGTTTTGGAATCGCTGGTCCAGCCCATGGTCTTCTCAGCCTCCTTGAGGTCCGTAAGGGTTACTCCCTAAAATGGGCAGAGGGAGGCAAGAGAGAGAGAAAAAAGGGAGGGGGGAGGACATGAAGATGGAGGGGAGAGAAAAGGGAAAGTGTATCCATCAGAAAAATACCTTGCCCTTCAGAAGATGCTGATGGGATTGTGGCCAATGGACAGCAAAACTCTTGTGAGGCATTGAGTTAAGCCAAGAAAGCTGTTGCACCCCAACCTGTGTGGCATCATCTTCAAATTTTGGGGTTGTTTTTTTTTTGCACCAACTCTTACCTGTGTGGAACGCCTGGATTGTCTCATGAGCCTAGAACGGGCTTTTCTTTGGGATTCAGATTCTTCATCTCGCACGGGCGTCTGGTATGACCTAGCAGGATGACCCTGGTGGTTAGGCAGCACATAAAGGTTTTTCCTCATGCTTTCTACAGCTTTGAGGAGCCCTGGTTAGTTCCTGCCAAGCCTCGTTGAGCTGTTGCATTGGCAGGACGTCAGGATAGGGAAAAGAAAGGAAAGGAAACTCTATGTTTGTCAGGTACCTTTTGCTTGGCTTCTTTTGACTTTTCCTGGCCAAACACAATGCCTTCCATTTTGCCAAGGAAAGCAGTTAGTCAGGCCAGAGAGGTGGAATGAAATGCAAGAGGTGCAGGAGAAAAAAAGGCAGCGGGCAGAGCCCTTTTAATTTTGCCAAACTCAACAGGACAGAGAGAGCTATCAAGATGGCATACAGGTAGCATCCTATATGAAGCATGGAGCACAACACAGAAAGGCCATCCTTCTTCTATTAGGCCCAATAATAGACATGATCAAACAAACACTGGGCATAAATGCCTGGCCAAATTCTCTCCCGTTGACACCATGAAGTGGATGCCTGTGTTATCAGTGACGAAAGTTAATAATAATACAAGCAACTCACAGAAATTTAAGGCCCAGAAGATCAGGATAATAACTGCATCAACAGAGATCAGCCTACATGCCTTTTCAGGATCACCCGTCTATCGTGGCCCTAAGTGCTTTCCGTACTGCCTGTCCCTGGCCCAGCCAACCCTCACCTTCGGTGGTCCTGGGGATCCATGCTAGAGCTGATGGTAGTGGAAGAGAGGGGCTGGTGTGGGGCGGGGGCTGTATCTATCTTCATCTGAAGGCCACCTTCTAAGTTTCTGCGGGGAGTGAGCAAGAAGACAGAAAGAGAAAAAGAGAGAGAAAGAGGGAGAGAGAGAGAGAGAGAGAGAGAGAAGGAGAGAGAGAGAGAGAGCACGCGCAAGAGAATATTTAGAGGGGCCTCCTTGACTTCTGTAAGATTTCATGACACCAATCCACTGCTCTCTAAAATTCAGGGTAATGGTCCCTTGGAAGGTCTTGTCTGCATTAATTTTGATGCAATGTTCCCCCCTCCTCTTCCAAAACCTTGCCACTTTAGCAAAAATATCTAACAAACTTTTTGGCCCCTTTTTCTTTTGCAAAGGTACAACAGTATTGCTAAGTTTTTAAACTGCGAACGGTAAAAAGCAAACTGATGTAGCACCTTATTCAAAGTCGATAAGGGTGCACTTAAAAGACCAAATAAATTTACTGAAATTGTGACATTCACTGGAAAGCACAACAGCTTCACTTCTCCAAATATTTCTATCCTCCAGTGAATCTTGGGAATCTCTTTTCCCATCCCCACTCTGAAACTAAAAGTAGACCCAACGGATCCTATTGCTTAACACACAGATCTTCCAATACAAGGACAAACTTTCCAGAAGTTCCTTCAAATTCTCAGTAGCCGTAGCCAATACAGCCAATGGCTGGCGATAGCTGGAGTAGAAACCTAACATCTGGAGGATCAAAGATCACCTAATCCATGTTAGTTTAGTGGGTTTCTCCACTCAAGAACATCAAGAGATGCACCCTCACTAGAGGATGAGAAAGAGGCGGATATCCACCCTGCCTGGGAAAAGCCAACTGCCCTGTCTCAGCTAACCAGCTTCCTGTCTGAACAAGATTCCAATCTAGGCCTCTCAAGTCGAAGCGTGCTATTTTAGTTTATCCATGGTAGATTACTCACGCGCGTCGGGGATCCCGGTGGGGTTCTGTGTCTGGGAGGGCAAATATCCGGCGAGTGGGGGTTGGGATTACTCGTGCCAGGCGTGGCTCTTTGTTCTGTAAAAGAAGATGGAAAAAGGAAAGAAAATATAGATTTGACTGACAGCTGTTCCACCGTTACTTTCTATTCTGGCTAGGAACGGGGGCACTCGGGAGGCTTTGGGGGCCCACTATTGTGAGCATTGCGTTTCTGTAAAAGGGAGAGTGTGAGCATCTCTCCCTTAATGCTAGAGGAACTGCAAGGATGGAGAAGGACAGAAAGCTTTAACACTGCCTCTCTAACAGGGTAGCTGTGGCCCAGACAGAACAAGAAAAAATTGTTAAGAGTAGGGAAAGAGCAGAAGTGGAAGGAGAACTGAAACAAAAGGACCCATATGTGGTTCCCACCAGAGGCTGCTGGTGCCCTTAGGCGTGCACTTCCCTTTACACGTCCATGCCTCTCAAGTTCAGCACCCCCCCACACACTTAACCCTCCCCTGCCCAAATAAAGCAAAGCTAGCAAGCAAGGTATCCAGCCACCCTCTCTGAGGGGTCGAGGCTCCTACCGGGTCACCAGGTGGCTCAGAAGCTGTGTTCCTATTGGCTAACCATGGGCCAATGGGATTCTTGTTCCACTTCTTCAAGAGCTCCTGGATGTCTTGCTGCAGATAATACAGGCAATGACAGGATCGGGAGGGAGAGGGAGGGAAAGACAAAGAAAAGAAAAAGAGGGCACAGCAGAGACATACTGGCGGCAAAATTCGTGTTCTTGAATCCCCACGCTGAAAAGCCCTCCCACTGGAGGGAAAACAAACCCCCACTAGAGCTCACAGACTGTGCAAAGCTGCTAGATCTGAGGTAGGATAGAAGGGAATAAACAGAAAGCACAGAAAAAGGAAGTTCTGCTTTTAAAGGAGAATATTTCTGGCTCAGGGTTGACATGAGGGGGTCCTTGATGCTCTCTGAGCTTGCTCGCTTTCTTCCGACGTTTCATTATCCAGCACTGATGATGTTTCCTAGTTAGGGTAATGAAACGTCGGCAAGAAAACAAGCAAGCTCAGAGAGCACCAAGGACCCCTTGTGTTCTGTTTTTGACCAAAAAGAGCTAAATGTGAATCTGAGATTCAACTATGGTATCTCCTCTGGCTTTGTTTGCATCATGAAAAAAAAAAAAATACACAGATGATCTGCACCTGACCAAGGCTGGGTCCACTTAAACCATCAGAAATAATACCAATAAGGACAGCTTTTGAAAACTTAACGCAAGGCAGCATCGTGTGGCGTGTTCTCAGGGCAGTTCATAGTTCACGAAGAGAAGTGGGCGAAGTGTGGCATGGCAGAATTTTCCCATCCTAAAATAACCCACCCTGACCTTAGAACAGGTAGTTTCAACTGTTCCAGACCTGATCCATTTTATCTAAGCCAGGACCGGGCAGTCATTTTGCACCTACGGGGCTGTAATGCTATGGGACTGACAGGATATTGTCACTAGAAGGAGTAGGGTGTTCTTTCTTCAAGCGTGTACAGTCTACTGGGGTTTAAACTATTTTGATAGTATTACATTTTTAAAAAATGTAACTAGCCACTCTTTGGTCAGCTAGCATGGCTGGCTGGGGAATTCTGGGAGATGAAGTCTACAAGTTGCCAAGGTAGGAGACTCCTGCTTTAGAAGGCTGAAGACTCACTGATTATGTAGTCCGGGGTGGGTAACCTCGGCTCTTTTATGACTTGTGGACCAACTCCCAGAATTCCTGAGGTTGCCTAGCCCTGATCTAGTCCAGGGGTCTTCAAACGTGGTCCTTTTATGACTTGTGGACTTCAACTCCCAGAATTCCTCAGCCAGCCATGAGGAATTTTGGGAGTTGAAGTCCACAAGTCATAAAAGGGCCAAGTTTGAAGACCCCTGATCTAGTCCAGCAGCCCCCAGCCTTTTCTATACCCCGCACCCTAAAACACTTCTGATATATTCCTGCACCCCTTACAAAAGTTCAAAATAATGGCAACAAATTATGCCTATACACTATTAATTTTGAAAACCCAAGTTTTTGCACGCCCTGGAATACTGTCTCACCCCCCCCCCCCAATCTAGTCAATATCATCTCCTCTAAGCTGCAGAAGCTTTCCAAAGATCAGAAAGATCCTGCTCCTCAACTTTTTTTTAAATACAGGTAGTCCTCAAATTACGATCCCAATATTTCTGTTGCTAAGTGACAACAGTTGTTAGTTGAGTTTTGCCCCATTTTATAACCTTTCGTGCCACAGTTGTTAACTGAATCTGGTTTCCCCATTGACTTTGCTTGTCGGAAGGTCACAAAACTGATCATATGATCCAGGGACACTGCAGCTGTCATAAATATGAGTCAGTTGCCAAGGGTCTGAATTTTGATTACGTGACCATGGGGATGTTGCAATGGTCATATGTGTGAAAAATGGTCCTAAGTCACTTTTTTTTCAGTGTCGTTATAACTTTGAACAATCACCAAACAAAATGTTGTAAATCAAGGACTACCTGTAGTGGAAATGCCAAATATTGCCCACAAGCAAGAGATCTCCTGCACCAGAGCTGCAGTGTCTGTCATCTTTACAGGTAATCCTTGACTTACAACAGTCAAGAAATTCTGGGCTCAATTGTGGTCATACATTGAGGACCACCTGTACTTTCTCTCCATTAGATATGAAAGTGCTCTACCATGGCAAGTTGTCCTTCTCTTCCTGAGCAACAATTCTCCAATTGCGTTTATGGGTTTTCAAGAATAAAAGCCAGACCGTTCTACCAAAATCAGTGGAAAGTGGCAAATAAGAAAGTCCTGATGTCCATGACACACCCATGACAAAATGGATGCCTTGCATACAGTTCCACCTAGGATTACCATAGGTCTACATCTTTTGTCTGAAAATTAAGATCATTTGCTGGAGCCTTACTCCGCATACTGTCTTCTTCACAGAGGCCTCCATGATAAAATACTCTCCTTAAATATGACTCAGTTGGTAGCTAATTGAGTTTTTAAAGATCAGGTTAAATCTTGTCTTTTTTGCCCAGAATTATGAGATAAAATCTAGAGCTAGTTTAGCTTTTTATCTGTGGTTGTGGGCCCGTTTGGTCTATTTATTTGTTTCCTTTGATGTTATCTCCTTTTTAAATTGTAAATCAACTTTCACTCAGCCTTCCATACTTCTGAGGTAAAATGGGGGCCCAAACTGTTTGGGGCAATATGCTGGTATTTGTAAACCCCTCACAGAATGCTGTAAAGCATTATGAAGTAGTACATAAGTCTAAGTGTTATTGCTTTAAGGAGGTCAATCACTCAGAATAGAGCTGGAAGGGATCTTGGAGGTCTTCTAGTCCAACCCCCTGCTCTAGCAGGATATCCTATACAATTTGAGACAAGTGGCTGTCCAGTGTCTTCTCAAAAACAGCCAGTCATGAATCACCTACAACTAATGAAGGCAAGCTGTCCCACTGGTTCAGGAGTAGGGAACCTTGATTCTTTTATGACTTGTGGACTTCAATACTCAGAATTCCTGAACCAGCCATGCTGACTGAGGAATTCCGGGAGTTGAAGTCCACAAGTCATAAAAGAACCAAGGTTCCTACCCCTGCACTGGTTAATTATTCTCCCTGTTAGGAAGTTTCTCCTTCATTCCAGGTTGCTTCTCTCCTTGATTACTTTCCATCCATTGTTTTTTGTCCTGCCCTTTGGTGTTTTGGAAAATAAGTTCACCTCCTTTTCTTTGTGGCAGCCCCTCAAATACTGGAATAATGCTATCATGTCACCTTTAGTCCTTCTTTTCTCTAGGCTATCCATACACAGTTCCTGCAACCATTCTTCATATGTTTTAGCCTCCACAACTTTAATCATCCTAGTTGCTCTTCTCTGCACTTTAAAAAAAAAGGTCATCTAATTGGACAACTGATGAGAAAGGGGGGGGGGGAAATAAAACAAAAAACAAAACTGTCAAATATAAGCCTGATCTTTTTACCAACTCTTCCCCACAAACTGACAGATCTTCCCTGTCAGTTTGTGGGGAAGAGTAAGAAGACAAAAAAGGCTACTGTTCAAATATATTACGGTACTAGGGACAGTTGTGCTGCCTGGAGACCAGAACAGTTGGCGCCCCTCTCCTGTTCCTTGTATGAAGGGAGAGCAATCCAGGGCTTTCCTATTTCTTGATGCCACCCTCCTCTATACCTGATGCAGCAGGCTAGCTTAGAGGTGCAGGGCCGGCCAAGTATTATAAAGGTGTTTCCAACAACACTTGGCTGCCGTCAACTCTCAGAATCAACCACCTGAGACAAATGATATATTTTAACCTAATGGTGAGGCTGGCCACGCCCTGACCTGCCTCAATGAACTTTGTGTCTGCCCAACTCACCTTCTCTTCTGTATCAAGCCGGGGACTGGATGCTGAGCGCTTGATGCCGCTGCCCCCCTTGTGGACCCCTTCGTCCAGCTTGGCATCCTGCAATACTCCAAAGCTGCTTGTTTTGCGTAGATTCTGTCTCCATGTGGCCGGATCTGGCAAACTCCCTGGCTCTGTGATGCGGCTGGGACCTCCAGAGAACTAGTGGAGAGGAACAGAAGAGGAGGGGTAAAGCAGAAAGGGATAAACAGAAGCGGAGAGAAAAGGAAGGGAAGGGAGTCAGGATGGATGAAGGGAATTTGGAAGTGAAAGGAGCAAGGTTGGGCTAGACTGGGGTAGGCAACCTTGGCTCTTTTATGACTCGTGGACTTCAACTCCCAGAGTTCCTGAGCCAGCCATGCTGAGGAGAAAGGGAGAGGTTTCCAAGTTGAGCCATGCTGCCTCAGGAACTCTGGGAGTTGGTCCACGAGTCATAAAAGAGCCAGGATTGCCTACCCTCGGACTAGACCAAGGAATTCAAGACCTGAATAACTGAGGATTCCTTAAGACAGGGGGCCTCAAACCTGACGACTTTAAGAATTCCCCAAGCTGACTGGGGAATTCTGAGAGTTGAAGTCCACAAGTTTTAAAAGTTGCCAGGTTTGGAGACCCCTGCCTTAAGAGAAGAAACAAGCTCAAAATTCTGGTTTGCAATAGATATATCAGATTCTTAACTTGATAATAAAGTGGCAACTTTTCATTTTCTTCTCTCTCTTGAGGAATTACAGGAGAAACAGTGCTGTGGGCATGAAACTTTAGGTACCAACCTGAGAAGAAACAAAATTGGTTGGGTTTCAAGGCAAGAACAGTAGTACTTCCAGTCAGCTAGCTATGGGCTCTGATTTTCTTCTCCAAAGCAAGTGGTGTAAGGAAAGATCAAAACATCCGAAAACCCCTTTTTATCACCTGAAAGCTTTTAGAGATTACCAAGGAATAGCTACTTGGCACATCCTCAGATGTTCCACAGCATGACTAAACACAGTGGTAGGATTTCAGGCTGAACTATACCTCAGGTGAAAGGAGCCAGGATTATAGTCTTCTCAAAGCAGTTTTTCCTGGAAACATCTTTCTTAAAACATGCTTCCAAACATCTGCCTGTTGAGATGAAGACTACCTCCCAATCTTCAGAAAGGCCTTAAAATCTTTTATATTTGGCAGAATGCATGAGTGCTGGCAGTTCCTGGTTGCTTAGTTAGCTATATAAGATCTGTGGGTGAGTTTTGTTATTTTTATTGCACTGTAAACTGCTTCAAGTCGCTCTGGGCACTGTAAAAATTATTGTTTGTATAAACAAATGAAGGGGGAAATAATGAAGGAATTGTCCTAGTATAGGGGTGCCCAACCTTGGCAACTTTAAGACCTGTGGACTTCAACTGCCAGAATTTCCCAGCCAGCCATGGCTGGCTGGGGAATTCTGGGAGTTGAAGTCCACAGGTTTTTAAGTTTCCAAGATTGGGGACCCCTGCCTTAGTATATAAGCAGCTGCTTAAAATAGGATTTAGAAGCAAACAGTCTTGGGGTCGTTAGCAAGCAACCTCTCAAGCAGGGCTGCCCAACGTGCAGTTTACATAAATATAAACACAACATAAAGGACCACCGAGAACCTCAAGGCTGCCCTTTCCCACTTCTGACAGTCCAGAGTCTTTGCAAGACGAGGCGATCCGTTCCTCTCGTCCCATCAGGAAGCTCTTGCCCATGTAAACTCCAAAATGGAAGAGCCAATGCTCGTGTCAAGAAGAGCTGCCCAGAATTGCAATCGGCACAGAATTTCAAAATGCTGTCAGGGCGGAGGGAACAGCAAGTCCTGGAAAGCAGCCTCACTGCATCACCACATTTTTCAGGAGGTTTCTGAAAAATTATGTCTGCTGCATTTCCTAGGCTCTCCATTCTGGAAGAACTTCACCTTGGTTGATGGGATTCCCTTGTCTGCTTGCACAGATATTGCATCCCAGCTCTATAATTCACTCTTATCTGGATATCCTGTCACCAGAGCCGGCAATCTTCCTGCCTGCCCCATCAAGAGCTACATTCCTTCAAAAAGTAATGCTGGAGAATGCCAGTGGCAAGCAGGAGATGGGACCAATGTGCTTCCCTCTTTGTCCTTCTCCCTCCCCAGTTGTATTATCTGTAACACACTGTTTTCTCTTCTCCCCCCCCCCCTCTTCTTCCAGAGAAGGGACAAACTACTTTGGGCTTTAGAATTCAAGCTCATGATTCTTGTAGCCCAAGGCCAACCTCCCTACTGAAGTACTACTTGACCCCAGTAGCTTATACTCTTAGCGGTCCTCTTCATTTCCTCCCTTGGGTGTCTTTAAGCTGCTAAACCATTTTCTTTTCCCAAATGCTAGCATTCTTATAATGCACAGATAAAGTAAAACACAGCTCCCCAACGTGGGCAGAGAGGAAACTGCAGCATTATCCACAGCCCCGCATCCTGTTTCACACAGTAGCTAGGAGATGCTTGCCGAATCTTCCCACAGTGGCATGGACAGAGTCAGTATTTTCCTTATCCACACCAAAGGGATGAACAGCCAAGAGAACAGCAGGCTGGGGTTCCAGTGAAGAAGCCTCTCTCCATTCCACTCAATCGGTTGCCGATTAAGAATTTTAAGCCCTACTTTGGGCTTCCTGGAGGCAACACACCACTCTTGGCTCCTCCGTCATCCATTTAGGTGGGACACTCACAGAAGTTGTTTGTCCCTTCTGGGGCACCAGAATGATCCCCGTTTTACGCAAGCGTTGTCTCCACGTGGAAGGTACCAGAGGGTTTGGGATAAGCAGCAGAGGCAAAATGAAGGCAAACTGTGGCTGGAGTGAGCAGGTGGAATGAGAAAGCAAGGAGGAAGAAGGAGATGCATTTCACAATGGACGGAAGACACAGGAACAAATGTCAAAACAGGGAAAAGAGGAAAAGAAAACAGAAAGTTCAAGGTATTTTATACAGCACAGATAAGAGATGACACACAACAGGATGGGGAACAGAGGCGGAGGAGGTCTGACCAACAGAATGGAAAGGCCCCTTTGCAAATGTAGTCCCTGAGACTTGCTTGTGGCAGCATCCCAAGCAGAGGAAAAGTCAAACGCGAGCAATAAAGGGTTAATCAAGCATGCTAGATGAAGGCATGCTAAAAAGAAAAAATGCATTAAGTTGAATTCATCACATGCTTTGTGCAAAAGAGCAAGCAACCATGGAGAACTGATGGAGGAGGGCTGGAAGAAAAGAAAAGGTGACATTTCTAAGGGGAAGATTATTTCTTATTTAGAGGTGGATTGCACCAAGTCCAGGACTACTAAGGTCTCTATTTCCTACGTCTTCTGTGAAATTAAGAGTTCAGGGGCTCCTTTTGCAAAAAAAAAAACTCCGTGAAAAACTTTGCTCAGTATTTGAAAGTTATACGACTCATCAAACATAACCAGCCGAGGCACAATATTTAGGCCTTGCTAGTCTCAGCTGTGCTACTTATCTCCTTGAGGAAAGTTTTTTCTGGACAGAAATGTTACCAATGAAATTCCTCTACAGCAGGCATGTCCAACACGCAGCCAGCGGCCCAAATGTGGCCTCCGCAAGCCACACCCGCCCCAGCCCCACAAAGGCAAAAAAACATCCCGATACATCACAATACAGATGCGATTGGGCTTAACACCCCTGCTCTACAGGTAGTTCTTAATTTACTACCAGTTGCTTAGCTCCCATTCAAAATTATGCAGAAACCTGAAAAAGGGACTTAAAGTCTAGATTCAAAGTTCTGACGTCTGCCCCCCCCCTGGTCACATGACTGGATTTTGGATGCTTGGCAACTGGCCCACATTTGCAGCCATTTGCATCACGTGTCTTTGATTTACTACATTTTTGCTGGAAACTGAAAAAAACCTGCCCTTTTCCAGAAAATATCCCATAGAGAACAATGGATTTGCTTAATGACCAAGCAAACTTTATAACCACCCAAAAAAGGTAATAAAATCAGGTGTGATCGTGTGGTAATCTACTTTAGGACCATCACAACCTACAACTCTAAATTTCAGGCTCAATTATGATTGTAAGTTGAGGACTACTGTACTTGTACTCTGAAATGGTACAGTCCAGGGTCTATGAGGATGCTCAGTCATCCAGGTCATGGTTGTCCCACAGGTGCTTTTTCAAGAGGCAACTGAACTTTCTTGTTTTTCTTTGAAAACGTTTCACTTCTCATCCAAAGAGCTTCTTCAGCTCTGCCTGGATGGTGAGGAATGGAAGGATTTATATTCCTTGCAGACAGTTGGTCATTTGCATTCTTTTAGAGAGTCATTGAGGCCACTTGAAGCTGAAGAAGCTTCTTCTCATCCAGTCAAAGCTGAAGAAGCTTCTTGGATGAGAAGTGAAACAACTTCAAAGAATAACAAGAAAGTCCAGTTGCCTCCTGAAAAAACACCTTTGTTACAGTCCAGTATTATTCTGCTGTAAAGGCAGCCTGTACTCAGGGGCACATGAATACTTCTTTGAGACTAGCAACCTGCAATCCCCATATTAAATGGCATGAATGAACTGGGAAGGCAAAGTGACTGGAACCTTTGCAGGGTTTGTCACCCTCTATCCTGGGCTCTAGTAAAATTGTTGGATCTCAGCTACATCACAGCACCTGCAATGATCCTATCTGGACTCACAACTTGAGAAGGAAATTGAGACAATGGAGAGAGGAAGTTCAAAAACACCTGACTTCCTCTGCTACCATAATGTCTTGCCTTACCTTTGGGCCAAGAGGACATGGGGACAGAGGCCTAATTGGAGTCACAGACACTCCGTTCACTGCACTGCTGTCTGTTGGGGGAACAGCTTTCACTTCTGCAACAAATGGGGAAGCAATTAGCAATCAGCCCGTTGTGACCTCTTAGAATGAGGGCCTTGGTTGCTGCATTCCGCCCCCTCACCATTGGACTCTGGTATTTCATCCCCCTCCGAAGCCGAACTGGTCTCCTCTTCGCCCACAGCAATGGTACCCAAGGTCTTCCGCTCCTTTGACTGATCTTGGACCGAGATCTTTTCTTTGCTGCTCATGCGACACACGGAGCTTCTAGAAGAATCAAAGGAAGAGATGGACAGGAGGAGAAGCTGGGAAGATCTTGCTTGCTTACCCTGCCACAGATATATACCACAAATTATGTATGTACAGGTGATCCTTGACTTACAGCTCTGAAAAAAAGTGATTTCTGACCATTTTTCATACTTATGACCATTTCAGCATCCTCGTGGTCACATGACCAAAATTTGGATGCTTGGCAACTAAGCCACTGACTCACATTTACGATGGTTCCTAAGGCAAAAGCCATTTGAGAAAATGGCATCCCTACAATCCCCTTACAAATCCCAAACCCTTCTATGATGTGCCAACATGTGCCCAACGAAGTCCTACTCTGAGCACAACAGTAGACGGTTCTTGCTAGGAGATTTTCTTTCCGGATAATTGTAATTTGCACAGGCTCAACATATGAACCACAAACAGAAAGACCAATCTGACAGCTGCAATTTCAAACCATAAACATTTCTGCGGCAAATTATTGTCAGACTTGCTGTACATCAAATAAAGATTCTCCCTCCAAACTTGTCTTGCCACTTTTTGCTGGAGGTGTGATGGTGTGGATTTCACATATCTGATTCCAGGGCTAAAAAAACCTAGATTAAAACCTTAAATTACCAATGTCTGAAAGCAAAGGCTGAGGGAGTTAAGTGGAACTGAAGACTTGGTATTTTCCATAAGAGTACAGTATCTAATAATACTTCTAGTGCTGACCTTCGATGTTTGCTTGTGTACGAGGGGGCCTGTTCCAAACTGGTGTCAATCACAGCCTGCCGATGGGCTTCCTTTTTGCTGCGCAACTGAATGATAAAAGGGGAGAGAAGCAAATCAAAACTTTTATTCCACTTGCACAATGCAACCCTCATTGTTTTTGTTCGGGTGGAATGTGACAAAAATCTGCTCCTTTGTATATGAAATACCAGAGTGGCAAACAAACTTTTCAGCAGCTACTGCTATCTTGGACTGGTCAAGATCAAAGAAAGTAGCAAATTATTGTGATTCACAACAAAAAAGGCAACAGGAATCAAGCTGAAACTGTGACTGTTAAGTTTAGAGAAGTGCTCACCTCTTTGAAAAGATAGGTCCATTCGTAGCATTTCACTGCAGTGCAAAAGACTATTTGCCCTCTGCAGTATGTTACTTGGAAGCAGAGGAGAAGTCCTATGAGCAACATCTAGAACAGGGGCAGGCAACCTTGGCTCTTTTATGACTCGTGGACTTCAACTCCCAGAATTCCTGAGCCAAGTTGGCTCAGAAATTCTGGGAGCTGAAGTCCACAAGTCATAGAAGAGCCAAGGTTGCCCACCCCTGATCGAAAGATGTGCCAGATCTCAACCAACCACCTCTTCCCTAACTAGTATCCTCTTCCAGATGTGTTGGACAACAGCCAGCATGGCCCTTGTGCTTTGGTGTTGTAGTGTTGTAATGTACAATCCTGCAAATCTCTCAGCCCAACTCCCCTGCTTGTTGTGGGGAAAAGAGGAAGAAAAAGGAATATGTTCGCTATCTTATTTATAAAAATAATAAAGGCAGGATTTTTTAAAAAAATACTGCTTTTTTAGTGAGCCAGGGTGGCAACAGTGGTTAGAATGCAGTATTGCTGACTAACTTTGCCCACTGTCAGGAGTCCGATCCTGACCAGCTCAAGGTTGACTCAGCCTTCCATCCATCCAAGGTTTGTAAAATGAGGACCCAGATTGTTGGGGGCAAAATGCTCTGTAAACCACTCAGAGAGGGCTGTAAACCACTGTAGATCTGTATCTACTGTAGATCAAGTGCTATTGCTATTACTATTTTTAATAAGATGGCAGCCACTGGAGGAATATCAATCTGGGCCATCCTCTTTAAGAACAGAGGCTTTGACTTGCAGTACTTTATGCTATAAATTAATTGTAGAAGGCCCCAAGTCAGTCCTTAATCTTCAGCCCATGATTCCTATGGCCAGGGAAAGAGGAAAAGAAAACAGGGGATGAGGTGGGGGGTAAACCACCTCATTCCACTGGTTTCTCATCACATTCTCCCCTCCCTCCCCCCCCCCCAGATGTACTTTTTTGCAACTAAAAAAGCTGTGAATGCTTTGGCTTTTATCTTTTATCGCTCAGAAGGTGGGCCAGGACCTTGAACTCTTGAGTCCCTTCAGATGCAGCTTCACCCCCTCCACACACTTCTCCCCCTCTTGTCTTTTATTGGGACAGGCTGCTCCTTCAACTGGTTCTCATAGGAAAACTTCCAAGTCGAATTACAAAAAGAAAGAATGCAAAGAAAGTGCCTTTCAGCTTTGCAAAGGACTTTGAGGCTGATCTGGTTCCAATCCACAGCTGGAAAGGGCAGAAAGCTGAGAGGCAGGAGGGAGGCCCATCCTGCTTGCTTTCCCTTGGGAACCAGCCCTTTTCTCTCTCTCTCTTTATCTTCCTTCCTCCTCCCCCGTCCCCACCCCACTCTACCGTAAGCCTGAAACAGATCCCAGATCAGCCGCCTCTGGGAGGCCCACCCGGCAGTTTCACAAATGCAACCCTCAGGCTGGCAAAACTCAAGTTGACAGGCATGCTGGCCTCCCTTGTGACCTTCTGCCCTAAGGGTCATCTGTATTTCTTTAGCCTTCCAGCTCACAACACTTCTTGAGGGCCATGCAAAAAGGCAATGGAAGAAACAGAGTTTGGGTGGTGTATCTCCTTATGTGTCAATTAAATAACAATTGCACTGGAATGCTAAAAAAAAAAAAAAAAACATTCACCTACATCAACCAAATGTCCAAAACTGTTACATAAAGCAAATGCAGGGTTTCTGGTTGCCTGATCTGTGCAATAGACACACACACACACACACACACACACACACACACAGCAAATTAGCATTTCTTAGTAATGGATTATGGTATATTTAGAACAAAGTACACATTGGCATAGGCAAGCTTACACAGCTGACCTTTAAAAAATAAGATTAAAGTCTCAGCAATATACAATGATTGTCAAATTTAACTAAAGCATGATTTAAAAAAAACCAAGCTGTAGTAGTCAAGGCAACTCTGATATATCAATGCGCAGGCAAATACACAAATTTTACATTAGAAATTAAAACTCATCAGGCAAGACACCAACTGAAAATGTTTTACAATCACAGGACACCACAAAAAAGAACTTATTCCATTCAGACAATTTTGGTATAAAATCGATCTGTTAGCCATATCAGACCTGATCTTCTCCATACCCCTCAAGGGTTTATCACAGTGGTTCTCAACCTTTCTAATGCCGCGACCCCATAATACAGTTCCCCATGTTGTGGTGACCCCCAACCACTTATACATCACCGGGTGCCAGGGGCATGGCCAAAGAAAAGGGGGAAAAAATGGCGGACAGCCTTGTTTGGCGACCCCCGTGAAATGATCGTTCGACCCCAAATGGGATCCCGACCCACAGGTTGAGAACCACTGGTTTATCATCTTACATATATTTTCAGGGCCAAAGGCCTTTGAAGGCAGCTTGCATAAAAACATAAAAAAATCACATCTTAAGGAATCCCTATAATTAGATCATTATTAGGATAAATTGTATCAGCAAGCATATAACTGTGCAAGAAATCTGAAATGAATTACCGTAAAGAAAGGTAGCTAAAACAATGTGGAATAAATAGTTCTTTAAAGCTGAATTCCACTAATGAGGGGCTGACCTGAAAAAGTTACAGTTCTGATTCAAAATGCATTTATTGGTTTTGCAACTATTATAAGCCCTGAATCCTTAAGGGCTCCTGACAGTTAACAATGAGCATAAAAGATCCAAAAGAAATACAAAGCACACAAATACAACAATAGAAGCTGAAGCAATTAAATTTAAAAAAAAATCACAGATCAAGCATGGCTGGATGGAGAATTCTGGGAATTGAAATCCACACATCTTAAAAGTTGCCAAGTTTAGGAAACACTGGGCCGAGCCATTCCATCAATTCTCCAAGTGCGGTCTAGAAAAGCTGTTTTAACACATTTTTGGAATATTATTAGAATGGGAGCTAATCTAATTTGTGGAGGGGAATGACATCATTGAAAAAAAACCCGGCTGTCTTCTCATATTACAATTATGGAATTACTAGCAGATTCTCTAGAAATACACACACCAAATGGCATCATTCTGGTTGGAAAAGATCCCATCAGCCAAATTGTCAAGCTGTTAGAAGCCAACGCAGCAACAATGTTATATGACTAGGGCACTTCTTACTTGCCAGCAAAGGGCAGTTTCCAAGTGGTCTTCAAAGGCAAATCTTGTGCAAATCACAATGTAGTAGACTAGATGTGTAAAAAGAGTACAATTTATCTTTACCAGTTTCTCCCAGTATAGGTAGGGATGTAACCGGCACAAGCTAAACAAAACTCCCTGATTATGTCCTTCCTCTGTCAATGGATCAATAGCAGTGGGGACATAAGACACCCCATCCCCCCTAAAGTTATGGGGCTTCATAAATCTAGAATTAACCACTGGAACTGAAAAACAGTATCTCTGATCGACACTGATAGGAGAATTCTCCCATTGGTTTCACCTCTTTTTATCAATTTCGTTTCTTACCACACGGCTAAATTTTGTTATACCGTCTGTAAAACCAAGCATGCTCCGTTACTGCCTCAACGACCTAATTTTAATCTGATGTTGTTTATATATTATTTAAAATGAAAACTGTTTAATTATTTTGTTCACTCAGAGACTTCCAGTCAGTGATTGTAAGGAAGAGTAGCCTGGGGAAAGATCTGAGATCATCCCACAGGGAGGATCTTCTCAACTCAGCCCCCCAAACTACCCTTTGCAAGATCTCCTGCAGAGGCCTTCTCTCCTAAAAAGTCTTCCAAACCCTGAAGAATCCCACACAGAAAGTGACCTAAGCACCAGATCTTCAGATGTTAGAAACTTTCTGTACAAATACAAAAGTCTATCACAATGCCCTTCTCTATCCACAATAAAAAAGGAATTGGCAAAAAAAAAAAGAAGAAGCTTCCAACAACCCATCACTCACATCATTTTGTTTATGTTGCAGCTCTTCCAGCAGTGACAAAGTACCTTCATCTGCAAGATCGCAGGGACGCTGGCCCTGTGGGAGAAAAGAAAGAAAATGGGGGGGGGGGGGAACAAGAGGTGTCACAGCAGAATTGCCTCAAAACTCTACCAGGCACCAAAAGAAGATAAAAAAAATACAATGGGCACAACAGATCACCCAACTGCAAATGTCTTCAAATCTCTGCTCCTCCTCCTCCTTTGAATTTGTTAACAGAAATTTAGCCTGACTAAACCAAGTACAGGAAAAAAGATCAAGTGATATGAAAAAAGCTATACCAAAGACTGGTCTAATTTTCAGAGTGCTCCTATCTGCTAGCTTCCACCCATTGTAGTTGTCAGTGAAGAAACAAGTCAGTTTAGTTTAGGGCAGGGGTAGGCAACCTCAGCTCTTTTATGACTCTGTGGACTTCAACTCCCAGAATTCCTGAGGCAGCCATGCTGAGGGAAAAGGGAGAGGTTTCCATGCTAAGCCATGCTGGCTCAGGAATTCTGGGAGTTGAAGTCCACGAGTCATAAAAGAGCCAAGGTTGCCTACACCTGGTTTAGGGGGAATGTGTGTGTATGTGTGTGTGTTTGTAGAGTGAAATTTGGGATGTTGGGTAGGAATTTCTAAAGGATGAAATGAATGCCTTTACAGCACTTGTTTTGATCCTTCAGCTTTTTTGTAAATAGAAAAAAATTCCCCACGAGGATGTTCTGGCCTTTGAAAAAAAATGGAATCCAGAGTGCAGCCTGAAGCTTAGAGATTAAGAGAGAGAGAGAGAGAGAGAGAGAGAGAGAGAGAGAGAGAGAGAGAGAGAGAGGGAGGGAGGGGGGAGGGGGAGGGAGGGAGGGAGAGAGAGAGAGAGAGAGAGAGAGAGAGAGAGAGAGAGAGAGAGAGAAAGAGAGAGAGAAAGAAGAGAGAGAAGGTAAATGTGTGGCCTCTCTGGGACATTCTCCTTTGCCAGATTCCATTACTACTCCACTTCAATCCAGTGCAGTTGGTCTCTAATGAATTTCTGCCAGAGAGGTCAGCATATATGCGAGACTCCAGTGATCAATTTCAGATTTTTCCATCCTACATCTCCCTAATCCTTTCGATATTTTCTACTCTGTGCAACTTTCAGTTGATCAATCAGGCAGAAATGAGGTCATCCTTTTTCTTTAGAAAGAGCCAAAAGAAGGCGGGCCAAGGAGGGGCCGTGGATGCAAAGCACATTTTCTGTCCAGAGGCCCTGAAATTGGCAGTGATTGATTCCCCTCCACTGGTCCCATTTAAAAAAACAAAACAGTGAAGAGAAGTGGGATAGTGACTATGTTCCACCCCCAACCACCACCATGCTGCCAAGAGTGTGGGAGGTTTGCAGATATTTTGTGAGAGCACCCTTCATGCTTACTGGTGCAACTGGCCTGCGAGAAGCCTAAAGAACCACCCCAATGAGGCAGGAGTGCTACTGTCATAATTAACAGAATAGCTAAGTTGGAAGGGACTTTGGATGTCTTCTAGTCCAACCCCGTTCAAGCAGGAAACCCTGTACCATTTCAGTTAAAGAGTTGCCCTGTCTCTTCTTAAAAACTTCCAGTACTGGAGCACCCACCACTTCTGGAGGCAAGTCGTTCCACTGGATATATATATATCTCGGATATATATAATCAACAAGTAGCAAGAAACAGTAGGGAAGGGACAGCCTCCTCTCAATTCTCTCAAGAGATATGCCTCTTCTGCAACGAACACCCGATGTACTGTACCTACCAGAACTATTAAAACTGTTGCTTCCGCTGTGCTCCACTTCATATTGATGCAATAATTAATGGATTGGTCTTTTTTTAATAAGCTGGTAATGTTTCTGTTATTTATTTCTTTAAAAAATTTAGATGGCCCCCCAACTCACACATGATGGCTCCAGGTGGCTTCCAATTATTAAAAATCCACAACATTGCCTCCCTCCCTCTTTCTTGTTTACTTCCTTAAGGTATTTAATAAGCCTTGGTTAAGTCTTGTTAAATACAGCATTATGTTAAAACAAATGGAGTGACCATCTATTTTTCCCCTCCCCTAATAATGTCTTCCCTACCTAAAACAAATAATTTTGAAAAGGAGAGCTTGCCTTAAACCAGGGATAGGCAATCTTGGCTCTTTTATGACTCGTGGACTTCAACTCCCAGAATTCCTGAGCTGGAAGTTGAAGTCCACGAGTCATAAAAGAGCCAAGGTTGCCTACCCCTGCCTTATACTAAGACACAGATCTATCTAACCCAGGGGTTTTCAAACTTGGCCCTTTTATGACTTGTTGACTTCAACTCCCAGAATTCCTCAGTCAAGCACGCTGGCTGAGGAATTCTGGGAGTTGAAGTCCACAAGTCATAAAAAGGGCCAAGTTTGAAGACCCCTGATCTAACCCCACATGGCTCTTTATTCCAGCTGGCAGTATGTTTTGCTGCCTGATCTCAGATAGAAAAGAGTTTGATGGCCACCTGGAGTCAATCAAATCTAATACCCTGCTCCATGCAGAAATCCAAATTAAAACTTTCCAGGCAGAGATTTCACCTGAACAAGCATCTGCCATCAACGTGAACTCCTCATTTGTCTCTTGTGGTTAGGAGTTTCTCTCTAATGGGAGATGCAATTTTTCCATATCCTGCTACCTGCCCTTCAACCAGCTTCTCTTACCACATTGTTGAGAGCCTCCATGTCGCAGAAATGCTCAGCCAAAAGCCGGCAGGCCTCTTCCACTCCCCAGTGAGCTGCTGCATGTAGGGGTGCCCAGCCATCTTTGTCCTGCACATTGGTGTCATAGCCAGCCTGCAAGAGCAGCCTGCAACACAGCAAAACAAGGTAGGGTAAGGATTCTAGGGCTCCCTTGTTCTTGGAAGAACAGAACTGGGTTGTGGCAGAACAAATGGGGCACATCAGAGGCAAACTGGGCAGAGAGGATTCTACAAATAAAAGGACCAAAGGAGACCAAAATTCAGGTTTCCAAGTTACCCACAACTATTAGGGGCAGATTCCAATGGAGAACATCAATATTTTTGAGCTAAGGTAGGATTTTTTTTGAACAAGAAGTGTGGTTAGTGAAGAAAAAGCTAGGTAGGGGTGGAGTTAAGACCCCAGGTGGTTTGCTAACAAAAAAAGACTAAAGTGAGGAGTGGAGTTATTGGAACTCCTTTCCCCACCTTTTTTTTCCCCCATTTGAAAAGAGAAATCCCAGGTTCCAATACTTCCATACATACTGAAAAGATTTGCCACTGACATCAATGTTGCCTGGGAAACAGACCATTGGGGGCTCTTTCACACCCCTATGAACTTACCCACTGAAGTGGCACCCATTTATCTACCTGCAGTTGCTCACTTTTGAACTGTTGGATCAGCAGTAACTAGAGCAGAGTTCCCCAAATTTTCTGCCTTGGTGGACCAGAAGGAAAGGGAGCAGCAGGGAAATGCACACATGTGTAGCCTGAGGTTGCATGTGCAAACAGATCATGGTCACCTACGGCACGCATGCAGGTGCACATGTGCAAACGGGCCACTGGCACCCGTGTGAGGCTGGTGGCGGTGCTAGCGTCCCCGTGCATGTGCAAATGGGGCTGCTAGGGCCTGCGCAGGGGTGCTACCATGAGTGGGATGGGGCTCACCAGCTATTCCCGGGGCCTGGTGGCCAACAGGCCGCAGCCCAGTACAGGGCTGCGGACCATCGCTTGGGCACCCCTGAGCTAGAGCATGTGACAGGAGCTCACTCTGTCCCACAGCAGCAACAGGTCTCAAACACGAGGCTGCCGATAGTCAGCCCACTGTTCTAATCTCATGAGCCACTCCTCAGAATGCCAGGTTAAAGAAAAACAGCTGAGATCCAAGATCTCTTGACCCAAAGGTGCTTTTTTTTTAAGGAGGCAACTGGACTTCCTTGTTTTTCTTTGAAGACGTTTTGCTTCTCATCCAAGAAATTTCTTCAGCTCTGAGAGGATGATGGGGAATGGAAGGAGTTATACTCCTTGCAGACAGCTGGTCATTTGCCTTCTTTTAGAGAGTCGTTGAGGCTATTTGGAGGTTTACCTGTGTCCTCAGGGTCACCTGAGTAGTGCAAATGTATGTGAAGCTTTCTTGACTCAGCATGCCCAGCTGTCTGCAAGGAATATAAATCCTGCCATTCTCCACCATCCAGTCAGAGCTGGAAGAAGCTTCTTGTATGAGAAGTGAAACGTCTTCAAAGAAAAACCAGGAAGTCCAGTTGCCTCCTGAAACAAAAAGCACCTTTGGAACAGCCAACATCTGGATGACTGAGAACCTCCAGAAAATCTGGCGATTTTCCTTTTTGCTTGAAGAAGGTTAGAGATGGCTAGGTGGGGACCGACATCTGCTTGGCTTTCCTTTTTCCATAAGCCCTGCCTGTGCTTGGGGGATGTGTGGCAAAGTGGATGGGGTCAGAAAACCAGTCCTCCCCAAAACCCTGCTGGGGGAGGGCAAGGGGGGGAAGAGAGGGCTAGGAGATCCAATGACTTGTGCTTCTGTCCCTCCAAACGCAACTGGGAAAAGGTGGAAGGGGCTCTTGTTTTTTCCTCCAAAAAGCAATTAACAATCCATATCGGTTAATGGTGAGGTTAACCACAGGCAAGAGTTACTCAGGAAATGGGAGGCTCTCACCTCATGACCTCGACATAGCCTTTAGCAGCGGCCACATGGAGGGCAGTGGCCCCAGTTTTGGGGTGAGGCTCGTCATATATTTTGCCAGCATTCAGCCAATGGCGAGCATCACGAAGCATCATCTCTTCTTCCTCTCGCTTGGCTACCTCTACATCTACCCCTGAAAGCAAAGGAAATGGTGACATGAAGCGGCTGAAAAATTCTGAATGGCTGTGCCCACATTATAGTGTAGAAAACACACACACCTACTTTTTAAAAATGAAATCATAGCAATAGGATCTTTGGAACTTTCCATCTCAGAAAAAAAAAAAAAGCTGGAATCGCATCATAGGACCAGCACATATTTTATGATCCACGGTTTTATGACACACCTGTGCAATGAAACTCTTCATATTCTTTGGATTCAAATGCACGATGGATGTCGCAGTCCACACAGAAAGAATTCATGCTAATAATTTTGGGAAATTATAATCAGCAGCAACAGCAATGCAGCTCTGAAGAGGGAAGACATTTACCAGACCTAAATTTAGCCTATTTCTGTTCTCTCTATATATTTACTTTTATATAACAGGAATGTGTATATAAAAGAATCCAATAGATCGATTTTTACAGCTAGGTAATCTAAACAAAGCCACTGCAGCTAGCCCTCGATTTACAACAGTTCATTTAGCGACTGTTCCAAGTTATAACGGTCCTGAAAAAAGTGACTTAGGACTGCTTTTCACACTTACAACTATTGCAGCATCCCCATGATCATATGGTCAAAATTCAGAAACTTGGCAACTGACTCATATTTATGCGGGTCCTGGCGTCATGTGATCCACTTTGGCGATCTCCTGACAAGCAAACTCAATGCAGAAGCCGGATTCACTTAACAACTGTGTTAACTAAGTTAATACCTGCAGTGATTCGCTTAACAACTATGGCAAGAAAAATTGTAAAATGGGGCAAAACTCAATTAACAAATGTCTCACTTAGCAACAGAAAATTTGGGCTCCATAGTGGTCATAAGTTGAGGACTACCTGTAGTGTGTCCTTTTTTTTAAAACGGTGAAAATTTCAAACAGTTGCCATAGCCAATTAGCTGGAGAACCCGCTAATAGGTCATTAGAGGAAGCAGAGCTGCATCGGCTGTGGCTGCTCACGTCTCTTACCTCGTTTCTCAATTTCTGCTCGCAGCAAGGCCTCCATGTTGTCAGCCTCAGCAATGTCCAGTGGCACGTCCCCATCACTATTCACTGCAGCAATGTTGGCACCGTGGTCCAAGAGGTATCTGGGCCAGACAGTTAAGCCCAGTCAGATCCATGGGCCACCCAGCCCCATATCAGGCCTACAATCTCTACAACCCAGCAGAAAAAGGCCATCTGGCTATCATAACCAGCTTCCTGCAAAGCTTAATTTGGATAACCTAGTCTGCTGGGGTGTCAAATGCAAAGTTCAAAGACTGTAAACTTTAAGACCTATACACTGATTCATCTTCTCAGGCAAAACTCCCCCTCCCATTCCACTGAAGATGAAAGTCAAGAAGATACAGTCAAATTTTGCAAGTTTCCACACTAAATGCAGCCAAGACTCTTCCTCTTTTAAAAAAAATTGCTTAAGGTTACAGTCCTCCAAATGCATCCAGCATCTTTCACCGAGTGTGAAATGTACCAACTATGATCAGCAGACATAGCATCTCTTGAAGTTTCTACAGCTGGAGAATCCAATGTAATACTAGAGTAGTTGCCTGGACTAGCTCAATGACCAAGTGGAGGATGTGAAAGGACACACTGCTGTCACCTGCACCAAGAAGGAACTGTAAGGCTGGCTGAGAAATCTGATGTTCTAGGGCAGGGGTCCCCAACCCCCAGTCTGTGGACCAGTATGGGCTGCTGCATGCCAGCAACCGCTCTGCACAAACGAGCAAAGCCCCATCTGTGGGATGCAGGCAGCACACAAAACCACACACTCTCCAGTCTGTGGAAAAACCTTTCTCCACGGAACCAGTCCCTGGTGGCCAAAAGTTTGGGGACCTCTGTTCTAGGAGCTTTAGGCAAAAAAATGCACAAATCTTCACCCAGCCCAAACTCACTGTGCAATCTCAATGTAGCCACAGGAGGCAGCGACATGCAGCGGAGTCCAGCCTTCATTGTCTGCCTGGTTTATATCAGCTCCATTTTCCACCAGAAATTCAACCACTTCCATGTTTTCATCAATGCAGGCCTGGAAGAACCAGAAGCTTCATTATCAAACAAATCCAACCTCATATTTCTCTCATTTGTAATACAAAAGTCTTCACCTGCCTTAAGAGAAAAGCCAATTCCCCTCATCAAATTTATCACCCTCCATTCCTTCCCCAGTGCCACAAACACGTACCCCATAGTAACATGGCAGCGTTTGGGCCATGCAGGGTGGACGATGGTTAAAATGGCAACCCTTGAAAGGGGAAACAGAACACTGTAAACATGTAATAGATTTTTAGACTAGAAAATAGGACTGAAAAACCAAAGTCCCTGGGAATTTTGTAATATTTGTCTCACTTTCAGTGCAGCTGGCGACCAAAAATGTTATCCCAACTGGGCAGGGGGCATTGTGCATTTGACAGGGAAATAAACAAGGTTTTCAAGTAATAAGAAGATTGTAGCAGAGGCACAATTACCCAGTAGGTCACAGAATAAAATCTCTAGCACACAACTTTTTAATGAAAAACTGCAATAGGCTTCTAAGATGGGAACGAAATATGTGGGTTATCGGGAAGGAGCCTTGAGACGGTAATCTAACTGAGTGATGGAAACTCTGCGGCTCTACAGAGATTTCTGAACAACCCCTAATAAAACCAGCCAGAACGCCCAAAGGAGAGAGATGCTAGGACTGTTTTTGAGAACAAAAGAACTACCAGTTTTCCATCCCTGCCCTAAACTCAATTAACAGACTCAAAACAGAAACTGGAACCAATAAAGGTAGTCCTTGATTTATGACCACAACTGGGATCAGAATTTGGATTGTTGAGCAAAGTAGTCAGGTCACTGTTTTACCCAGTGATTGAAAGTCTTGGCACTCCATCTATTGTCATCATACAATTATAAGATTTTCTTTTTTTTAAAAAAAAAATATCATGTGCCCATGCAACTGGAGGGTTTATCTCAGGTCTGAAGTCTACCCAAAACTTGATATGGCCATCTGGAGATGCTTTTCCTTTCCAAAGGCATCCTCTTGATCTAACTTCTAGTCATAAGGAGCTGGAATAGCTAGAACAGCTAGAATAGAATTATTCAACCTACCAAACTTCTTAATCCACTAGTATAGTGCTGGAAAACAAAACTTACACTTTATTTCTAGAGGTAAGATATGAGTGGATAGGCAACAGATATGATCACTTAGTTTCCAAGGAAAGCTATATCATGCAATGTTATGTCTGACCCAAAACACAATGAAGCAAAATTATTATTTACTTATTTATATAACTTATAGGTCATCATCTGCCAATGATTCCAACAGCTTACAATTAAAAGGTTAAAACAAAAAAGACAAAAAGGAGATAATGAGCAACCTAAAGTCAACATATAACCATCCAGCAATGGCTTAACCTTCATCCTTCCCCAAAACCTGGGAAAGTCAGGTCTTTGATGGCTTCTTAAACATCATCAGAAAGGAAACTTGATTTTTTTTCTTGAAACCAGGACAATAAGTCATGGTTTCAGGTTGCTTCAAAGTCCAGCCCATTGATTTGGATTTAATAGCAAACCATGTTTGATCTGATTTGATTATGTGTCATCAAGTAGGGGACACATGGATAGATCACATTGATTAATCTGACTGGGTTCCGGCATAATGTGTAGGAAGCTGCACTATGGCTTGGATGAAAAGGCAGACTCTGGTTTCTGTCAAAGAGGAAGTATTTCAGTCTGTAAAAGTGAGGGGAGAAAGCAGGGGAAACACAAGAAGAGCTTTTATTATTTAGGGTCAAACCTTGGCAGCTTTAAGACTTGTAGACTTCAACTCCCAGAATTCTGAGAGGGGAATTACATAAGTCTGTTGCCTGGGGAACAATGCTAGCTGGGGAATTCTGGGAGCTAAAGTCCACAAGTTTTAAAAGTTGCCAAGGCTGGACATCCCTGATTTAGATGGAAAGCCATAGTTTGATATTATGTGCAAAGGAATTGCAGGTGATTTTTTTTTTTTAAAGTGCTAAATCTCCAAGGGCTCTTTTTGCATCTCATACTAGATATGCTGCAAGATGGTATATATGTCGAAAAACAATCACCTACCAAAACTGGGAGGTGGATGGGGGGGGGGAGGGAGGAGAGACGAGAAAGAGAAGGAAGAAAATTGGACCAGTAAATCTTTGATGTTTCTTATAATGTCAGGAAAATGCAGCTGTGCTACTTTTCTTCTTTCAGGCACAAAAGATGTCAGAACTGAAGGCAGCTGCTTTTGCTCATTGCTTTCATCTGCCTTTAATAACAGGTTTTGAATTTGCAGTCAACCCATGCAAAATAAAACTGACTGAAGCAATAACACCAGATGGGTGTATGATATCAAAGAGCCACGGAAGAGGAGACATTCTTCAGAAAAGAGAAAAACTAAGGATGCTGAAGCAGGGGGAATGAATAGAGGGTCCTCTTAGAAGGCAGTCAAGGAGGAAGGGTCTCCTGTGAGTCTCAACAGATTGCTTTGCATCCATTAAAGCATCATTGTCCACCCTGCCTTTTTTGGTGTTCTCCGATTTCCAGCAACTCCCCAAGGACACGAGCACGTTTGCTGAATGCGTCAATCCAGGCCACCATCCAGAACAAGAATAAGTGGAGTAGCCATCGCAATGAACAGCCGTGCATTTTGCCTACTTCCAAAGCACTGCTATTCTCATCCCTATTTCTACAGGTAGTCCTCGACTTACAACAGTTTGTTTAGTGACCATTCAAAGTTACCATGGCATTGAAAAAAGTGACTTATGACCGTTTTTCAGACTTACGATCGTGGCAGTATCCCCATGATCCTGGGGTCAAAATTCAGACGCTTGGACAACCGACTCATATTTATGATGATTGCAGTGTCCTGGATCACTTTTGACATCTCCTGACAAGCAAAGTCGATGAAGAAACCAGATTCATTTGACAACCAAGTGGCAAAGTTAATAACTGCAGTGATTCCCTCAACAATTGTGACAAGAAAGACCCTAAAATGAGGCAAAATTCACTTAACAATTGTCTCACTTAGCAACATAAATTTTGGACTCCATTGTGGTTGTAAGTTGAGGACTACCTGTATTTCTCTATGGCCAATTTGAGCCATGCCACAGATAGAAGTGCCAAGTTTTGAAACCGAGAGTTTATACCGAGGGTGTGTGTGTGTCAAACTGCCAGCCTGTGGGCCGGACGCCTCACAAGGAAACAGCGCCTACCCCATTGCCGGCAATGGGAAAAAAGTTCCGTCACATCACGTCGCAAGTTTGACATGTCTAACTAGCACTCGGAGATCTAGGCTGCAGAAATCCAGATGGCCCCTAGATGAGAGCAAATAATTACAGATTTCTGTTCATCTCTGCAGCCATTTAATGGTCATCCAGATCATCCAGCCAAGCTATATGGTAGAGAAAGAAAAATATTAAGCAATTTCAAAAATAATAACTACATCGTATCGTAAGCTACTGAAGCTGGTGCATTCCCCACTAAGGTCGTCTAATCAGTACATAATGCTATTCCAGAACGGCTAGATTTATACACCATTGGTGTATAAACAAGCCACACTATAGCATGGCTGGATATGTTACACTTTACAGAAAACAATCCTGGCCAAGGGGTCACTAATCCTATTCATTTCAGTTTTTTTCTCAAAAAATAACTCTAGCTCAGCTGGCTGGATCTGCTGCTTAAATGTTCTGGGCTTTCAGTCACCATTTATCTGACTGGAAAAGGTAGAGATACCGGTTGGATAAAAGGGTTGTTATGGAATGCTTATGGAGTTGGGTCTAGGACAGCAATTAGTTAAGGAATTAGTTAAGTATTCAGATGACACAGCAATCCTCCAGAATCCCAGTTTACACAAACTAGTAAGCCCCAAATACTTCCACTGGCTCCTGCCTTCAACAGGTGTGTCTAACCCACAAATGACCCCATTTATAATTTATTAGTGTCATTCAAATTGGTGAAAGGAGCCAAATCCCCTTCCCTTGAACTGCAAAAGAACAAAACATAGGGTGTGGTTTGTCAGCCACAAGTGCAAGGCGCCAGGCAAAAGTGATTGCAGAATGCTGGCAAACTCAGGCTCATTGTATCATAGGAAATAAAGTTTTTTTAAAAAAGCAGAGCAGTATTAACATTCCTGACAGATTGCAGCAATATCTGCAGCTTCATGCTGATAAACACAGATTACAGAACACACATTTATTTTGTGCACTGCATATGGCTTAAAGTAGATTCTAAAATACAATACCAAGTTGTCAAGTAACACAATTCAGCTATCAGATTCACACCTTTGAAAAAACATGAACAGCCAATGACAAATTTAATTTAAACCAGACATTTAAATCAGATTTCCTGTTGGTTGATTTAAAACATGAATTAAAGTGTGATTTAAATCAATCCACCCTGCTAAACACATTACATTTTAAATAAAATGCTTCAAAATTCTATGCCAGTGGTTCTCAACCTTTTTAATGCCGCGACCCCCAACCGGTCGTAAGTCGAGGACTACTCAACTAGCGCAGCACCGTTTGCAGAATGGGACTTTTGGCGGGCTCAGCAGGGCAGAGACAGCCTGGACAATTCCTATTGGCTTTTGAAAGCCAATAGAATTAGACTCTATTCAAGAGAGTCTATTCTATCGGCTTTCAAAAGCCAATAGAATAAAAGGGAGTAGCACAGCTAAGGAAAAGGGGGAAAAATGGCAGACTGCATTGTTTGGCGACCCCCGTGAAATGGTCGTTCGACCCCAAATAGGGTCCCGACCCACAGGTTGAGAACTACTGTTCTATGCTAAGAAAACAAGAGTGCTGTAATATAAGCAACTTGGATTGTGGAAATTCAATGCAACAATTTGTGCGCTGCCACTGTGCAGATTTTGAACACGTGTTTGTATTGTGTCATATATTTGGTTTGGCACAAATGGGAAGGCAGAGAAGAGAGGTTCGTAGAACATGAAATCTGCCCCCTTACCAGTGCAAAGTTAGAGATTGCCTCTTGAATGTTACTTCATAAATTCAACCATCTTTCTAGGTTTATGTA